CGTAGTGATACTGCCTCGGAAACCCAAGGAGGGGTCGCTGTGAGTCGGGCCGACTCGATGGCACATAATATAACAACAATTTTGCCCTTAGAATCCTTCAATATTGCAAGTCAAGACTTGAATTTTTTTCTTCAGTTCTTTCAGCTTGAGAAGTGCCTAGAATGTTCTTTCCTTTTGATATTTTAATACAAGTCTTTGTACATTTCATTAGCATACTTTACTTTGTCTTCTAGAGCCACTGTTCAGCTTTTTTATTTAATCATTTCTTCAATTCGCTTTAGCTACTCTCCGTTCAGGAGCAGTTTCAGTCTCTTCTTTCATTTTGGTCTTGTTTCCTTTTTTCTTTCTTCATGTGTGATGGTCTTAATATCATCCCACAAACCATCTGGTCTTCAATCATCCATCTGGACAAACTGACAGACAACTGGTGGATGTGCTAATAAGCCATTTATATCTCTTCCTTGGAAAAATGTCTCTTCAAGTCCATTGCTCATTTTCCAATTTCTCTTTGTTTAGTTGTAACTATTATCAGATACACTATTGGAAAATATTTTCTACTATTCTGTAAGTTGTCTTTTCACCCTTAATAATGTCCTGCGATGTACAAGGTTTTATTTTTCATAAAGTCTAAATTATCTTTTTCTTTCCTTTGTTGCTAATACTTTTAGTGTTGTACATGAGAATCCATTGCCAAGTCCAAATTCATGAAGATTTATGTTTTCTTCTAAGAGTTTTATGATTTTAACTCCGATGTTAGGTTGTTGGTCCATTTTAAGTTAATTTTTGTATATGGTGTGAAGGTCCCACTTCATTTTTTTTTTTCAATAAACTCTAGTGTTGCTGAACATTTAATAAATTCTTCTTTCCATTTTGTGATTACCCAGATTTCTATTGTTGTTGTTGTTTGCCATCGAGTCAGCCCCGACTCATAGCGACCCCTCCTTGGGTTTCCGAGGCAGTATCACTACGGAAGTAGTGAGCAGTCAAGTGAGCAGTCAAGTGCCTTAGGCACAATGCTACCAGAGCAGATAAGATCTCCTTACACAATTTCTCTGGCCCTTCAGGCAGATGTAATTGCTTCTTCACCTATATGCCCATAGCTCTGTACACACTCTATCATAGACTTTTAAATAATAATTTTAGACAGTGAAAATTGGTATATGATAAGACTATTGGTGTAATCACAGAGTACCTTAGCCTTTCTGTACCTGATTTTCTGTATCTGTAAAATGCAGTTGGCTATGAAATGGTTGGCCCAATTTGCATGGCCCTTTGCAATGTTGTGAATGTATTACAGGACTAGCTTTGAGACTTGTTCCCTCTCACATGTCATCTCCAACCCTCCCTACCAGTGGCCAGAGGAAAGCTGCATGGTTCCTTGTCTAGCATAATACTCTGATTATAAGGGTATTTATGTCTATGGTTCAATTTAGTGGTATGGAGAAGGCATTTGTTGTTTGATACTACGGCAGTGGCCTCAATTTGACATAATCAAAATAGACTTCAAGATGCAGATAACATAGATCATATGAGTATGGAGGCAGATTCTCATAAAGTTTTAATTTCAAATATATAAAACTATGTTCAGTAAAAGACTATTTGGCAAAAATTTTCAGGCTACCATGTTTAAGAAAATGTCATCTACTTTTATGTATTTCTGATTCAAAGACAAAAGACAGTATGCAAAATTGATTTTATTTGACATACTTGTATACCAAATATGAATATTAGTTGAGCTGATCTGAGTTTGTATAAAACTCTCTAAATAGATATTATAAAACAAAGATTAGTAGGCATTCCTTATATGCTTTTCATCTATGTCAAAACACTTTTGCCATTTAATAACTTTAATATTGCTGGAAAATGTTTCTGGTATTTGATAGTTAACAATATTATGAAATAGAAAATGGAAATATATCTATATACTGAAAAATACTTTTTAAAACAAAAAATCCATACTTACTCTCTTGTCCTTAGAAACATATTTAACAGAGCAAAGATCAGAAGTATGCAATATTCATACAAGTCATCAAGTTAATTTTGTAGGAATCAACTTTCTGGCAAGAAACAAGAGTGGACAGTCTATTGACACTTCCCTGATGTGTTTGCCCTCCATCTTGAGGACCTAAGGGGCAATGGCCCCCAATAGGTCTCCTTGTCCCATCTTGTCCCAGGCTTCCATCTTTCCTCCATACTTTTGGAAGTTACCTTCCTGAACTTCAAATCTTCATTACCTACTCACAAAATCCAAACTTCTTGGTCTACAAAAGCATTGTACCACTGAACCATTGCTTTCCTTTTCAATTCCTGTCTCTTGCTGCCTTTCCTCTGCTCTAGACTCTGAACCACTTGCACTTACTTTTCTGTATGTCCTTATGCAGTTTCATGCTTTCAGGCAACAAAGAGTAACTCATGCCTACATGCCAAGCATACTGTGGATTTTCATGCATTTGCCCACGCAGTTCCCACTGCCTGGAATATTCTGCTTGTCTGTCCCCTGGAAAATGTAGTCATCTTTTGAGTGTCACTACATGGTCCCTGGAAGCTCTGATAGTGTAGTGCCTAAGGCACTTGACTGCTAACCAGAAGGCTGGCGGTTCAAACCCACCAGCCACTCCTCAGAAGGAAGATGGGGTAATCTACTTCCGTAGTGATACTACCTTGGAAACCCAAGGAGGGGTCACTATGAGTCGGATCCAACTCGACAGCACATAACAACAACATGGTCCCTATCATTTTAGCCTTTCATAACCCAATTAAAACCACCCCCTTCTTTGTGCTTTCAATAAGGCCTATACAGATACCTATCACGAAAAGTTTTACTATTTCCATGTGTCTTTTATTAAAGGCATAATGTTTGAGGAAAGGGTCCATGTCTCATTTATCTTTTTATCTCCAACACCTGCCTAATACCTGACACTAAAATTAATTCATCTTACCCCAGCTCCCTCTTCCCATAAACAGTGGAATAGATTACTGGGTAAAATCTCCTTACACAATTTCTCTGGCCCTTCAGGCAGATGTAGTTGCTTCTTCACCTATATTCCCATAGCTCTGTACACACTCTATAATAGGTTTTCAAACAATAATAATTTTAGACAGTGAAATGGCAATAGGCCAAGGTCTGGTTTATAATGAGCACTCAATAAATGAATGATGAATTGAGTCTTGCTTTAAGGATATCAAGTCAAGACTAATTACGTTAATTCCAATCTTAAAAAAAAAAAGTCCTTGTTTTTTTATTATCTTTAAGCTCATATTAAACACCAGGTAGTACAGTCTGCAAAAAAGATGTTAATTATTTATGAGAACACCATATTTTGAAAAACACAATTTATTTAACCAATTGCTACCAGGGTAATTTACAGTAATTGAAAAACCCTAACACAACAGAGTTTTGATAGTGGTTGGTTTCATGTATAAATACTTGAGATTATTTTAAGTGGTCGGAATAGGCCCACAGACCACCTATATTCTGTGCTGTTGCTATTTAATGTTTTAATTACTTCAGACTTTAAAATAACTAAACATTTAAATAAGCTACATAATTAACCATTTAAAGTTTAATTATTAATAAACTCCAGCTGAATTTTTTGTGGGCAAATTAGCAGTATCATGTTATCAGGGGGGACCAGTCCCTGAACAAGGGTCTCATGCTTGGTAAAGAAGAGGATCAGCGAAAAACAAGACCCTCAGCGAGATGGACTGACACAGTGACTGCAACAATGGGGTCAAATATAGCAAGGATTGTGAGGATGGTGCAGGAGAAGGCAGTGTTTGTTTTGTTTTGTTGTACATAAGGTCTCTGAGTTGTCGATGGCACCTAACAACGACAACAATTTTGTGGTGATAAAACCTCAGTCACACTGAAATCTTCTTAAATCTGTTTGAATTGCATCACTCACTCACTGAGCACCCAGCCATCCTGTTTTGTAGTTTTTTATAGTTTATAAAGCAATTTTAATACTAGAAATGCAAGTCTAGCCTTTTGGTTTTAGAATTTGGTAATTTTGCAGGAGTACTTAGATGTGTGAGTCGGGGTCGACTCGATGGCACATAACAACAACAACACAACAACACTTAGATGTTTGTTTTAACTCTGCACCATCTATTAACAGCTTCAGTGTAGTCAATTTATATACCTGACTATACTAAGACTCTTTAAAAATGATTTGAAATAGTTATTTCCTTCATTCCTACTTTTCTAGATTATACTGCTGCTGTATCCTTCTTTTAGGGAAATAAACTATACTTACTTAGAAATGAATGAAAAGTCAGACTAGGAAACAAACCTGAGGATTTACAAAAAAATTATAGTACATCAGTAAATGCTTTAAAAAATACACCACCTAATGACATTTATGCAACTTATACCATAGATTCAAGGGCATAAAGAATGGACTGAACTTGCTTTACCATTCACTTCTACGGATGCTCTATAATAACTACACAAGTACCATAATAATTAAAACTTACATTTGGCTCTCATTAGTTGTGTGTCTGTTGATACATCCATATTTATTTGATACACACAAAATACCCAAATTACTTTAATCTTGTATCCATCTATCACCCAGAGTGATTTAAACTAACCACAGTGTCACATAAATGGGGGCGGGGGGGGCAATGTGATGCTGTAATAGCTATTTCTGTAAGAAAATATCTCTGGCCAGCTACTTTATCATTAAATCTTAATGTTGCCAATATTAGTTTCAAGTAATGAAAATAAAATATTCTTGGCTTATTGAATACAATATATAATACATGAAAAAAAAGATTATGAATTTTGTTTTGTCACTCATCAAACATATTTTCATCTTCATGAAGATATGTCTTTGAATTTAGTATAATTCTTTTCGATAAAACAGGATATATTTACAATAAAGTTTGTGATTTAATCTGCTAAATCTTCCAGTCTTCAAATACAGCTGAACAGAAAACAACGATTACAGGAGAGAAAAATAACACAAATAATCTCCTGCGGCCATCATTTTAGGGGTTGAATTTTATCAGAAACTCTCACATTTTCAAGCTTGGGAGGTACTTTAAAACTGAACTGTGAGAAGATTCAGAAAGCCTTCGTTCTTAGGCTTACACAGTAAGCACTTTGTGTGATTCTTAAATCACATTTTATACAGAAGTGTTACAGGTCACATTTTTCTCAATAACGCTTATAGTGACTTGTGCTCTATAAATATAAACATATTTACACACAGAATATACACATTGACATGGAGGTATGAAATTAGCCTGCCATCCATAAGAAGAATGGGATAAAAATTGCAGGAAGGGTGGTATATGATGCCATGCCCAGATAGACTATAGATGCCAATCCCAAGACTGCTGAAGCAAGAACACTTCTCTGATCACGAATAATTATCTTCACATTCTCACAAAACTGAAAAATAAAATGAAAGAATATTAGAAAAAATGGCTAAGCCTAAGAAAAATCAGATACACCAAATAGTTAAGCACAGATTTCCTAGGTACATTATGTCTAGCAGCAGAATTATTATGTCACCTATAACTTCTGAAAGAATTAAAGATGCTAACAATACAGTTCTTGATCCACATCTCACATTCCAATAAATTTTTTATTGCTGAAATAACATCTTAGGCAACTGGGTTAAGAATAGCAGGTACGTTTGCAAATACAGAACTTTTGCAGAAAACTATAGGGAATAATGTAACCACATAAAAGTTATTTAAGATTAAAGATTAAAAACAGGATTTATCTGCTTATCAATAGCAATGATATATTCTAAAGCTAGGTAAGCAAAATGCTGTCATCTTGAGCGAAAGAAATAGAATTTAGACTGTTATTAATTGTAAATTTGATTGCTTCAATTCACCATTCTAAAATCTCCTGATTTCAATAAAAACTTTCTCATAAGTCCCAAAATCTAAAAGTCCCAAAAGTCTAAATTTGTTATTAGCATATTCATAGCCCTAATGAATTAAATAAATTCATCATCAACTATGTGACACATAATTGGTTACTGAAAATGAAAATAGATTTAATATGGTCACTATCCTTGAGGAATGCATTCTTCTGTGTAATTTTTTTTTCTTAGAAAAATACTTGTATTTGGAAGTTGATGGCCTATGTTTGAGTCTTGGTTTCATCTTTTATTAGCTGTGTGACCTCAAGCAAGTCATTTAACTTTTCCCCCTTCCATAGGAAGGAACAGCAAGTTTATCATGAGAATCAAATGAGATGTCTTTTGCAAAAGAACCCCATACTCTTCTACATGTTGTATAGATGTAAAGTATTACAATGATTATTATTACTGCTATATCTGTCTATATTTATTGCTACCTCATCAAGAAATCAGCAATTAATCACTCCATTTTTATATGTATTTTGGTATTCATAGCTCTGGTGGTGTAGTGCCTAAGGCATTTGACTGCTAACCCGAAGGCTAGCAGTTCAAACCCACCAGCCACTCCTCGGAAGAAACACTGGACAATCCACTTCCATAGAGATACCACCTCAGAAACCCAAGGAGGGGTCACTATGGGTCGAATGGACTCTATGGCAGTGAGTTTTTTTTTTTTTTAGTAGTTATATAAGGCACTTGACTGCTAACCAGAAGGCTGGCAGTTCAAATCCACCAGCCACTCCTCGTTAGGAAGGTTGGGCAATCTACTTCTGTAGTGATACTGCCTCAGAAACCCAAGGAGGGGTCGCTATGAGTCGGGTCCGACTCGACGGCACATAACAACAACACAAGTTATAAACTTTCCTAGACATGACATTATATAAACTTTTAGGGTCTCCGACAGTGGCTTACGTAATAATGAACAACCCTATTTTAAAACTCTTAATGGAAAGAATGAACAAGCCCAACATATTTTAACATACTATCTTGTCGGAAACCAAAAACCCAAACAAACTTAGTTCCATTGAGTCGATTCAACTCATAGTGACCCCTCCTTGGGTTTCTGAGGTAGTATCTCTACAGAAGTAGATTGCCCCATCTTCCTTCCAAGGAGTGGCTGGTGGGTTTGAACTGCCAGCCTTCTGGTTAGCAGTCAAATGTCTTAGGCATTATGCTACCAGAGCTCCCTCCTTGGTACTCAACAGTAGTGGGAATATCCTGCATGTCTACAAGATATTAAGAAGATTGTAGAAGTACTTTAGAGAACAATGAATCCTCAGAAAACAAATGGCTATTTACATTCATTTTGGGCACTGGAAAGCAGTATTAGAAAAGTGAAAAAAATATATAGTAGAAAGAGCATAAGGATTACTAAATTACTATTTAAAAAGATTTATAGTTCATAAAATAATGACATTATCAACAGCTATATGAAAATCACTTTTATGATTTGTAAACTTGTTTAAAAAAAACAAAGAAGTAAAAGGTAGATTGTCTAATTCATTTTCAAGTTAATTGCAGTGCTTTCCTGAGGGAAATTGTTTTTGAGAGTTTATACAAATTCAAATTTAAGAGACAACTTTGCAATACTCATGTTAAGTAGTTAATACTTGTGTGGATAGAGAACTCAACAATTAGACTCTGAATCAAATAACTCCTTATGTTTCTTATAAACCAGACACCCTTCAGTATTAATGACCTACTTCTCTTAGGGAATGTTCAAAAAAGTTCTTAGAATTGGAAAATTTAGGATGGAGGTCCCCCACCCCCACCAGGGAAATCTACTCTGTGGCCAAACTGTTTGTTAGTCCATTCAAAGTGAAGACAAAAACTCTAGTTTCACAAGAGGTGCTATGCAGCAACTGCAATTAAAACACTTCTCTACTTCTGTAAAACCTGACCAAGTTTCAAAGTTAAAAAGCTATGCCAGCTAGTTATTTATGCAGATGAAATATTTTATTACCTTAAAAAAAGCATTTGTACTGTTTTTCTGTACAGTGCTGTATGTGTTCCATAGAAGGGAAACTCCTAATTACCAGATAGAAATACTGGTTTTCCTTAGAGAAATTATTTGCTTGGTTCCTAAGTAATACTGACGTGTTTCCTTTTGTACACTTTTGGAGCCAGTGTTTGTAAATGTGGTGAAGTTCATTTCTAAACAGGCCTGAATCACTGCACAGTGCTCTAACTGTATTTCTGTTTTACTTGGAAAAGATGCCAGACTCTTCCTAGATTGAGTCTGTTGTGGCTCTATGAAGTCTATAAGGAGTTTCATGTACTGGTGTATAAAAAGCATACTACCATGCTACTGCAGAGGAGAGAAATGAATTTTCCTATATGGGTCAAAGGAGGCTGGCGGTTCAAACCCACCAGCCACTCCTCGGAAGGAAGATGGGGCAATCTACTGCCGTAGTGATACTGTCTCAGAAACCCAAGGAGGGGTCGCTATGAGTCAGGGCCGACTCGATGGCAAATAACAACAGCAACACAATATGGGTCAAAAAAACAATCAAGATTGAAGCACTTAAAAATTGGCTATATGGACTCAGATTCTTTCTGTTGAAGAAAAAATATCTAAATATGAAGACTAACCCTGAAAAGCTCATTTTGTGATTACCCTGATTTCTATTGTTGTTGTTGTTTGCCGTTGAGTCGGCCCCGACTCATAGTGACCCCTCCTTGGGTTTCCGAGGCAGTATCACTACGGAAGTAGGATTGCCCAACCTTCCTTCCGAGGAGTGGCTGGTGGGTTTGAACCACCAGCCTTCTAGTTAGCAGTCAAGTGCCTTAGGCACTATGCTACCAGAGCTCCTATTTCTATTTCTATTATGAGGAGTGAACACTAATGATACCTCTTAACAACTGCAGTGAAGGCTGAGAAAGAAAGCTTCCAATTAAAATGTTAACTATCTTTAAAAGTGGTTTCAAAAGAAATAGAAATCTATTTCTTTTGGATTTGTGGCTTATTTAATAGTATTAAATTCTAATACTGTCTTTACAAGGTACCCATAAAATTTACCTTCCAATATTTATTGGCTCTTCTTGAAAGTCAACTGTTTTGAAATCTTACAATGCAGAGATCTGACTACTTTTGGAGCTAATGGGTAAAGGATGCTTAACAATGAATAACAATCTAGATGGGGATTAAAAAGAACACAGAATTCAGAATACCTAGGAAAACCAGGGAGGTCTTACTGGGGATTTTGATAGTGTTACATTAGGCAAAGAGAACTCATTCTATGCAGTTTACAGTGGGAGAAAACTGCATGCTTCCTTGTTTGAAATGCACAGTATTTCGTGTTATGGATTAACTATAAATGCTGACATCTTCTACCCAATTTTCATTCTTGGAAATAGTTGCAATCACGCGGCGACAGAATTCCTGTGACACCTAATCACCTGCCCTTTGTCATTTCAACTACGTTGGCGTGGACACCCTGATGGCTTCTGCAGCAATAACTGGGCAGTTCTCTGGATTCATTCGGAGCGTTTCCACACATCTCTGCGTTGCCACGCCCTTTCACCGAGCATTTCGAGATATCCTGCAAGGCACATAGCCATTTATTTGTTTATTTTTTAATCTTCTTCATCACCAGAGTGTTCGTTAATCTAGAATTTTAAGAATGATGTAGAGGGACAGGGGAGGTGGTCAGAAAGAAGATCCCTGGTTGGGGAAAGGGAAGAGGTAAAGGACAGAGGGGGCGTCCCCACCCAGCCAGCCCACCTCCCAGGCTAGACTTTCTCCATACCTTGTCCGCCTGGGGGCTGATCCGGATGCCATATCTGCAGTAAGTCACGAAGTGCTCGCAGTTGTTCCACAGTAGGCTGTAGGAGGTGACGCCCAGCAGCTTCTCAGCTCTCCGCGCCACCTCCTCGTTTACCAGCGCCTTCTTCTGGAGGGCTTCGTCCAAGTGATTGACAAGGATGTCGCCTCCGTAGGAGAAGTCCTCCACCGTGTCCACGCGGATGCTGGCCACCTTGCCAATGACCCCCAGAATGAGACGCTTGTTAGATACCACCTTCTGCGTGAGCCCCTGGTCGTCAGTCAGGGCCAACAGGATGTCCGGCATCAGGTGGGCGACGCGGTTGTCGCCCAAATAGATACCATAGTGGGTCAGGTGAGTCCGTGGCACTTCCAGCACGTCGCCGCGTTTAAAAGAGTGAATCTCGTAAAAATTGCTCTTGTCCTCACCGGGAGAGCTGGAACTGAAGAACTTGAGGTTGGAGATGAGGAGCAGCTTCTCCAGCAGTAACGACACCACCTCGAGCATTGGGTTCTTCATCCTGCAGAGAAGGAATCTTGGGGGGCCGCTGCCGCGCCAAAAGCACCCTGAACTCTCTAGACTGGGACGCTGCGCTGCTGCTCACCTGCAGCTGCCGGCGCAGCGCCGCGGGGAACAGCGGCTACGGAGGAAGGAGAAGAATGAGCTTGGTGACTGCTTCTGCTGCCCCTCGCTGAGGATGGAGGAGGAAAAGAAACTGGCGTTAACCGATATCTGGGAGAGTGGTACCAGCGCTGCTAGAAGCCTAGGGAGGTGCACACCTGAAAGTCGGGTCTGGACACAAGAGTCACACGCTTTGCACTGGTTACAGCCTTCCGGGCTGCCTTTTACGGTCGTCGAGTGGGTGGAGCCGAATGCCGTCATAGATAAGGCGAGCGCGCTGATTGGGCGGGCGAAGAGCGGCGAGGAGTGCGGCTCCGTGGACACTTTGGGAGGGGGCGGGCTGCTTGCCGTTTCCGGGTTTTGCGTCGTGTCTCTTTCCCGCCACTGGCTCCTGCTGGCACGCCTGTTCCTAGCAAAAAACACCAAGTTCTAAGTCTAGGGGAGTCGAGGCTGAAGGTGTGGCCGCGTGAAAGGTCTTGCACCTGCCTAGGCGGGAGCGTGCTCCAGGCATTCTGGATCTATTTTTGGAAAAACGTCCGGTAGGGCCAGGTTTCTGACTTTGGCCGCCTCTCTCCAAAGGGATTAAATACCTGGAAACCTCGGCTCACTAAAGTGTGTGCATTTAGTAAGCGAAATACGCGTGCCTCGGGAGACTGCGAATTCCCTCCTAAACTTAGAGCCCGAGCCCCACGCACCGCAAATCCCTTCTCTTTAAATGCCAAGAATCCCGCGTTCTCTGGAAGCGCAGGAGGGATGGCCGGCTGCGCGCCAGGGCCGCGGGCGCCAGTGATGGAACTCTAGGCGCCTCGGCTCTCCAAGCCACCAGTGGCCGTTGGCCGCGTGGCCACCAACGGTCGTGAGAAACGGCGAAGCCCTTAACGGTCGCCTGGAACGGAGTAGTAATGTCGTTTGTCTGGCTTCAGGGTCTCATTGAACAGCTTCGGTTCACCCAGCGAAACTTTGCGGCTTTCTTTTAATTCGCAGCCTCAGGAGGTGGCCAAGGTCGGCAGAACCCTTGGATAAGGCTAGAGGCCAGCGGTCGCGCGCACTAGGACTCCCGCCTTGCATTCCTTCTTAAGAGCTTGCAGCGCGACCCAGGTGTATCCGCTAGTGGGCCGGGTAGCAGCCGAGGGAGGGAAGCTGGTGACACGTCGGTCTTGCTAAGCTCCGCACGCGGTCTCTCGACTCCTGCACTGCGTTCTGTGCTAATGAATTATGTAAATGATTCAATCCGACAGACAAAGGCCACAATGAAAAGCCTCTGTCGGTTCCACAAAGCCGCCCAGTCCGGGGCTAATAGATTTCATCAGAGAGCAGATTCTCTGCTCGCCGGGGGAGGAAGCTCGCCGCGGATGATGGATGAAGGCACATTCATTTTACCTGGAAGATGAAGGGGACCATGGAGACCAGGCAGGCGGGCGCCGGTTCCGCATTATCCTCTGAGGCCAGCCTTTGCTCATTCCCCCGGTCTGCCATCAGCACTCTGTCCCCGTCACCCCGCTTGCCTGTGACTTTGTTCATTTCACAAACGACAACGAATCACATAGTCCCAGCAAAGAGAAAGAAAATGCCATTTCCCACAAACGAGTCGAAAGAGGAAAGTGGGGACGGTGAGACGTGGAACTATTTTAAAATTTATTTCCACAGCCCCCCACCAAATTGAGCTAGAGCGCTTGTTAGCTTGCAACAATTTACCTGCTCAGAACCCTTCTTTACAATCAGGGGGAGCCTGAAAAGAAAATGTTTAAAAGTTTGATCCAGACCACGGTTTGTACGTGTTAACCGCATACCCGACGTTAGAGGCGCAGGCTGTGGACGCGCTGGTTTCGTCCAGTTCTGGGAAAGCGAGGATTCCGGAGTCTCAAGTGTCAAGGGCCAAATGGCAAGGGGAGTTCAAAGAGGACTTGGTAATTAGCGATTTCCGTCTCTGGTGGCCACTGCAGCGGCTCATAACGTCGACGTCTGTCTCCACTGGGGAATTTGCGAGCGGAAAAAAAGCAAAGACAACTGCCTTACAGCTCCGCAGAGAACTCCTTTAAAACGAAAAATCAGGCGAAATCACCTCTAAGCCCTCAAAGCCGTTTAGGGAGAGACAGGCAGTGCCAAGCTGGTATGCTTTTGGTATTTTCTTTCTCTCCCGGTGATTTTTTTTTTTTTTTTCAATAGCAGAAAGAAAACCAAACCAAACTCACTGCCGTCAAGTCGGTCCCGACTCAAAGCGACCCCTCCTTGGGTTTCCCAGGAGGTATCTCTACGGAAGTACATTGCCCAATCTTCCTTCCGAGAGGAGCGGCTGGTGGTTTTGAACCGCCAGATGAGACTGTATGAGAGGAGCAAGAACTGGAAAAGGCTGCTCAAGATGTAGGCGTTCTGCCACCTTTGAAAATAAATGTAGAAGGAGTGAGGGGATGAGAGGGTGCAGTTTCTTGAAGATTATTTGTTTATTTAGTGGAAATCAACACTCCCCCTGCTGTCCGGTCTGTCAGGAGTTGCCTTTGGGAAACCCAAAGAGAACAAGGAGTCTTCAAGTTGTTTTCTGAAGTCTTCCAAAGACCCTTAATACAGAAAGGGATTAACAACGGTTAGGCCGCTTTTCAACTGAGAAAATGAGCTTTTGTTGGCTGGACCCCTTTTCCTTCCCCTCCGCTTTTCATAAACAATAATTTACTTTTCTGCAGGCACGTTCCCCTCCCATGTTCTCAAAGTAGCACTCATTTCTTTAGCTGAGCAATGTTTGACGACTCCCTAGAGGCTGACTTCATGAAATACGTTTGCAAACTAATAGCTCACACGTCTACTAATATTTTCCTTCCTGCATCAATTTTAGCTAAACAGAAGACTATCGCAATTATTAGGACAAAAGGTACGACAGAAATCTCACATTGGGAGGTTCTTGGTAAACCATAAATGGTTCTTTGCAGAAAAAATAACCCCCCCTGAGTTTCCTGACAAATATCTCGATTCCCACGTAGTATTAAATGTTTAATGATTAGGTTTGCTATACAGATGCCAGGAGCTCTGGTAGCATAGTGGCTAAAGCACTTGACTGCTAACCAGAAGGCTGGCGGTTCAAACCCACCAGCCACTCCTGGGAAGGAAGGTTGGGCAATCCTACTTCCGTAGTGATACTGCCTCGGAAACCCAAGGAGGGGTCGCTATGAGTTGGGGCGACTCGATGGCACATAACAACAACAACAACAACATACATATGCCAGATCTGGCTGGGCGATTCTAGGAGATTCACGGCTTTCCTGAACAGCATATTGAAGGTGCTGAAAAGTCCACTCCCACTTTTGCCACTGCTTACTCATCTGCAGAAGGAGGCACTACAGCAGACAGTGTCCCCACTTACAGATGGGGCCTAGCCCATTTCTCCCAACTGTGCAGGACCAGACGCTATTGTGTCTAAGTGCAAAGAGAGCTGAAATAAAATTAGGGCTAAATTGCAGAGAAAGGAAAAAAGCCCACCTAACTGCCATGCCTAACCTTCCAGCCCTCAGGTTGATTTGGGGGTCCCAAGAGAAAGAGTTCTGCTCTCAAGAAACAAGATAGGGACAAGGTGTGGAGTCCCACAGATGCCTACCGCTTGAGTTTGGATTTCCCACTTCTGGACTCTTACCTCTCAGAAGCCTCTCCGTTCTTAAGAGATGTGTTTGAAATGAGGGATATGACCACAATATTTAATAATAATGGTATCTTCTTAGGTGCTAGACATTCAACTAAGCATTTTCTCATTTAATCCTCTCAACAACCCTGTGAAGTATCATCTTCATTTTAAATAGGAAGAAAATGAGGCTTATAACTTTGCGTACCTTACTTTGTTAATGTGTCTGTGGATCAAGACTAAATTCCAGTTCTTTTTGCCTACATGTCCTTAACATAGCTGGAGAAAGTCTTACCTTCTATGAATCCATCCCCCTTCCATTTATTTAGTGAATACTTACTATATGCTAGGTGCTATGTCCAGCTTTGAGGGGCTACAATAAAATATCCAATACTAAATTTAGACCCCATATCCTTTGTGAGTCTGACTTCACTTCCCCAATTCTAGTGACCTAGGATTCAGTTCTTAACATCAATTATTTTACTGGGAGAGAAAGGGCTGGTTAAGATTCCCTCACCAGGAAGCCCTTCCCCACTTCTTGAGTGGTCAGATAGGTCACACCCTCCTTAGACACAAGACTGTGAGATTAGAGTAATTGGTTGTTTTACCAAGAGCATAGAGTTCACTAGAAGAAAAGTCAGAAGCAGAACCTAGGCCCAATCTTCCAGACTTCTTATTTCTTAGCCTACTTTTCCCTGTGACATAAGCCTGGTAAATTTGATTTTCTAACCATTTGTTTTAACTCTTGCCCTCCTTTAGGATTGTTGTGGTTCTTAGATTTTTTAGATTACTAAATCTTTTGGCTCATAAATATGGTAAACTTAACGTTTGTTTTCTTCCCCTCTATCCATCCACCTTCAGTTTGTTTACATATGTTCAGCTCTGGCCTATGAGCACAAACAGGAGCCTTTCCTAGCTAACTCTACAGGACTGTAGAAAAGAAGGCTCCTGTGAATGTCCCACTGGAATCAGAGAAGAAAGAGCAGACCTCTGTTCAAGCAGCCTCCTAACTCAGTGCTACAAGGAGTGTTAGGCCAATAGGAATCAATTATCTGCTGGGAGGAAATTTTCTCCAGCTTCCTTCCTGGTTGGCTAACACCTTATTATGGGGGCCTCAGTCCTGGCTATTGTCTTTAGAAAGATTAAAGGCTGTAGCCCTACCAGACAAGATTTAGTTATTTTTTATTTGTTTGTTTTTGCCAACCATAAAATAAGAATATGGAGCAAAACAAAGAATTTACATTTAGTATTATGAAGAATCATGACCCAAATGAATACTGATTCATATAAGTTAGTAACAG